TTGTTTATATAAATTCAACGCACGATCGTTAAAAGACTTAAAATAAAAAAATAACATATCCTTTTCATTCTCATTCCGTCTCGAATCTTTTCTTAATTGTAACACGTACACAATACCATCACAAAATTCTCTTTGTTCCCCCTATCATACTTCAGCATAATATATCAAGGAATTAATTCCTGCATCTCATCAAAATTATATATACACTCCCTCATTAGTCTCCCTTTAATAATTATATAACGACAATAGAAATTTTTAAAAGGGACCGTGAAAACAATTATTTTAAATCATTCCCGTTAAAAATTGCCATTCTACGCAACCACTAATAAAAAATTACATATAATCTACCCGAGTTATCAGGGTGGACCATAATTATTCTAGTGGATGGTTTTTTTAATCACCTTGAAAAACTTTGATTACTTCCTTCATTTTTACTAAGCACCCATTGTCAATCATTTATGGCTTGGAAAAGTGTCAAAAATCTGTTTTCGCTTGACACAACCTCCAACAATGCATCACACAACAAAAAGAATGCCAATGCGTCGTCGCGTATTGTTCCACGTCCCACCCTTTCGTCCTCAAATAATACCAATAATAAAAATAATGGCCGACCGCCTGTCAAAGGCAATGTTGATAAAACGCATGAAATCGACGAAACAAATAACTCCTTTAGGACAGTGACTGATTCGACAAGCAAACCCCCAAGCTCGAGTTCATCACGGACCCATTTTGCAAATGATATTCATCAACAGCTACGTAACGCCAGCGAACTTCTATACCTTCATCTACCGGAGGACGTGAAGTCCGTGTTGGACAAACTGAGAACACTTCAGAACGCCGAGAAATCTTTGATATTTGACCAAAAGATGGAAAATGGGGAATGGCAGGTAGGACGGCGAGGTCTCACGTTCACCCGCATCACGTGATGTCAAAAGAGACACTTGTTTATCTTTATCTCTTTCTTTCTTTTCTTAGAACCCCTTTGCAACATTAGAAGCTGCAATAATGTCAATATTAATAATGGCCCCAACGCTGTTGCTAGTCAACATTCCAAAGTCATCGCCGAAAGACGAAGACGGCGATCATCTCGGCAAATGTTTTGATGCACAGCATAATTTGTCATCTCGTCCCTCTTCCTCAATTATCCAAGGAGAACATAACGAAGAAAATATGTCAAATATGGTCTCCTCCCCAACCACACTTTCTGTTATACTGGAAACGGTTGAGAATCCTCATGATCAACAACGTAGAAATTCCCATTATTCCACCCGCAGTCGTATTTCCACCTCCACCTTTCACTCGGACCTCTCTACTTCATCGTCAAAAAATTCTTCATTGCTTAAAGTTCTGAGTGCTTCCACACTTTTAACCACTGTGATCGGGTCAATCATGTCGATGCACAATGATGCGCTTATGAACAGTTTCACGGAATCCTCGACGTTAGATAGTTATCACTCGTTACATGAGAAAATATCGAACGAGGCGGACGCGATGTTGAGGTACGTTAGAAAAATAACCACACAGGGCAAAACTGAAGAATTGTCGGTGTATGGCCAGGTAAATAAGTTTGTTTAAAATTAATCGCGTGAATTCTCAGATTAACCGGCTGCGCGTGTTGTCGTTCGCAGGCTATATACGATAAGTTAGTTGTGCACTCCGGTCGTCTCGTGGATTCTCTTGATTCACTTGTAAATTTTGTCAATGCGCATCTGCCCGTACTCCGCGAAGAACGTGAGTCCTTTTTCAATTGCTTTTTAATTTTTGATATTGCCTCGTCAAATATTTCTAAGATTGTAAAATTAAAAAAATCAACCTCGGCAGTAACTTCGATGAAATCACAGGAAAATGTTCTATTGACAGCCGAAGAACAAGCTTATCAAAAGTATGTAAAGAAACAACAGTGTTTTTATAAAATGATGACCACTGAACGTTACGTTTTTCGTACAATATATTGAATTGCATGTTTTTCAACCTCTCTTTGCCCATTCAGGAAAAAGAACACATGCAAGTTCCTTTGACTCTCATGTTTCTCTACATTATCTCCTGGAATTCGCATTTGTAACTTTTTTTTTTCTTTTTTTTTTAAATTCGCCACCTACAGTTAAAAAAAAAGTAATGCGAAGTCTGAGCTCGTTCAAGCGAAATTCGCTGAGTTCGAAGAGCAAAAAGTCAAAAAATAGTCCTCCTGACGATTCTGATTATTCTGGGCGTAGCAGTTTGACATCTGAACGCGGGCGATCATTGTTTTCGTACCATCAAACAAGCGCCGAAGTTTCAAGGCACAACAGGCAAATGGTAAAGACAAGTGGTCACTCTTTTATGTCATCATTTTAAGAAAAAGAAAGCTTTTTTTTCAAAGTTTCATCCATTTTTATCTTGCACAGAGAAACAAGAGTAGAGATTCAAGTAGCGTCGGTTCACTCGCATCAAACACTTCTGCTGCCACAGCACCAATGATGTATACCAGGACCAGAAAAATAGCATTCTCCGAAGGCTCGTCGTCGCGTAGATCCGGTCAACCATTGATGCCTCGAACTCACCTTCGGCGAAAGGGTTCCTTCCTCTCCGTAGACACAAGCCTCAACTCTAACGTCTTTTATACCGATATTTCCTCTCCAAGCACACCAAGCAGTTTCTGTTCCTTGAACTACCGAGTTCACGGCGGCCACCTGCCTCCTAACCATGAGCCCTTGTCACCCACATTATCTAGTCCGAGTAAAAATTCAAAATTTAGAGAACAAATTGACGATTCGCCATCAAGGATGTTGATCGACTTGAGTGCGCCTCGATCACCCCTTTCCTCCGAGACATCCGCGTTATCCAGAATGACCTCGACACGCCGTCGTCTGTCGCACAGCTCTCCTGAATCAGTTCATCCCCTCTCTTTGTATTCTCATAAAATTTCAAAGTCATCAACATCATTGGAAGCTCGGCCGGCGAAGAGTAGGGAATCCGAGGAGAAAGATGATGAAAACAATTCTCCATCTACCTCGAGATCTCGAAAAAACTCCCATTCTAAAATCAAATCTTATTTTTTGAAACACATCAGTTCTCTGTCTCCGGTCACTTCGAAAGGTAAAAAAACAAGCTATTGGCCGGTGACCGAAGATTTGATGACGCTCGAGTCTAACGGCACAGGTTCAAGGGCGACGGATTCGGATAAGTACGCGCAAGCATTGCTTAGAGCGACGTCATTGTCGGGAAGGCAGCCCAAGTTTCATAAAAATAATAGCGACACAGATTTGAAGAGTCTGCAGATGATGTGGGCGGAGAGAGATCGCCTAAATTCAGATGAAAAATTGTGCGAGGATACCGGAGAGATGGTAGCATCATCGGCTGCGGAGGTCAGTGACGCGAATAATCTTAGGGAACAATTGTTCAGGAAGATCGTTACCAAGAAGAGGTATTTAAAATGGTGAACATATAATATTATTGTAGATGAAACAATTCTTTCTCATTGAACGCGCATCCTTTTTTTCTTAAAGTTCGACGAACTTGAGCGTCAAGAAAAAATCCAGCCTAGGAAGTATGATAAAGATCTCGAATGTATTCACACGCCTGCACGAGGTATAAACATCAAGTGTTTGCAGTTTCTAAAGTTGTTCCTTAGAAGATTGCTAAAATATATCTCATTTTGAAATGTGCAGCAAGGACACAGTAGCTCCGTTTCTCTGGATATTAGCAGTCACACTAATAATGCTACGTGCACCCAAGAGGGAACGTTGACAGATAACGTCGACGGAAGGTTCGTATGGTGAAAATGGTCTGCGAAAGTGTATAAACTTATGTCTATTTGTTCGCTCATGACCTTTGATTTTAAAACAGCCAGCAGGTTAGGGCAGGTACCCTTGAGAATTTGGTATCTAGGCTAGCAGGTGAAAACGAACAAGGTACAATTTCAACTTATGTTCGCGCAAACTATGAATCATCGCAGATCAACTGATCTACTCTTTATCTGTTACCTTTTATACTCTCACGAAGATAACGAGTTTATCGATTGTTTCGTCCTGAGTCACGTATTCTTTATAAGTTCGAAAGTGTTCCTGGAAAATATGATCGCAAGATTCAATGATGATCACAGTCCGACCATGACAGACACGGAAGCACGGGTCCCTTCCATTCGACAAAAGTGAGACTTTTTCTTTTTTTAGCAGAAAAAAAAAATTGCGATGACAAGGGTAATATTGTTTTCACCGTCTTTTCCGTTGCCTATTTCTGATCTTTCGATCTTCAACGTCAACCGTGCAGAGTGCTGACCGTTATTGACCGGTGGATTACCCTCCAACCTCAGAATTTTCAAATCGAACCCGAATTACGCAACCAATTACAAGAATTTTTGACCGATGGAGTCTCGAACGCTGGTTTCCAAACTGATGCTGAAAGAATGCAAAAAATCTTGGTATGTCATTCTTCCTTTTAACGAACCGTACCTCCTCGAAGTCACCATATTTTCTTTCCTTTATAGTCGGACATTCCGAGCCTCCCCTCCCCCTCACCTTCAGAGCACTTGGTTCAACCAAAGGTTTCCAACGAAAACTTCCAAAAATCCCTCTCGCCGAAAAAACCTCCAACGCTTTATGACTCGTCGCCACTATTGGAATTTAATGCAAAAGACATCGCCATGTATTTGACGCTAATGGACTTCGACGCATTAAAATCAATCACTTTCTTTGACTTTATAACCGTGTGGTGGCGTAAGAGGCAAGCTTTTGAGACTGGTGGAAGTCCGAATGCTGCGCTGCAAGATCGGCAATTCGGATTAGAGGAAAACAGATTGGATGCTTTTACGAGGCGGTCTAACATGGTAGATCAAGTTTTTCTTGGGTGCTCTTCGAAGAGGAATAGGAATTAATGGTACTTGTTTATTTAAATGCAGTTAGGTCATTGGATAGAACATGAGATATGTAGTTTAAGAACGGTCAAAGCAAGACGCACAATACTCCAAAAATTTATTGATACTGCAAAGGTTGGTTTTATGAGGGATATGAGTATCCTTAAAGAAAAATCTTTGTATTAATAATTTTTCATAAATTTTATTGAAAGTATTGTCTCGAGTGGAACAATTTTCACACTGCGATGTTCATCGCCTTGGCCTTGAATTCACGACCAGTGCGTCGTCTCGAAAAAACTTGGGAGACACTGTCTCATCAGGCGTTTTTGAACCTTCAGAGCATAGAAGAGCTCATTGATTCCTCTGGAAATATGCGAAGATATAGAAACGCATTGGCACAGGCCACGCCACCGATAGTTCCATTTTTCGGTAAGATGAACATCGACTTTATTCAAAGTGATTAAAATTGTGGTTTAAGTAATAACCCAAGTGGTTTTCTTTTTTTTTTTTTTTTTTTGATATACAGCAATCTTCCTCAAGGATTTAACGTTTATAATGGAAGGAAATAATACATTCCTTCCGGCCGGGCATCAACGAGAAAAACAATTCCGAATACCATCAACACCAACAGCCCCGGTCCCCGAATACAATCCCGAATCTCGTGAATTACCAATGCCCGCATCTGATCCACATTCAAATATATCTAACGCTTCACCCGAAGAACATCAACAACCATTGATTAATTTCGAGAAATTCCTGCTACTGAAAAAAAATGTTTATAATATCACAAGATTCACTTCTAAATCTTACCCATTCGAAAATCAGCTATCTTCACATTCACTTAACCAACAACATATATCACAAGCATTAAATTCACCTAATTTAAACGATTCTCTCTCATCGCCGCCGCAAATGAACATTGACAATAATATAATTCATAACAATAGTGATTCCAACACCGGTGATTTAACAGCACCACTAGATTACATCGGGAAAGTTATAGAGAATCGACTATTTGAGGCAGCAGGGGCAATGTTCGGTGGTAATGTGGCATCAATCGCAATGTCGGATGGAGGCGAATTAGAGGCCGAATTAATGGCATTGTCACTAGAAGCCGAACCAATAGCACAACAATCTTAATAACGAATGTTAAATATTGGTCAGCAACAATTTTTGCGTATTACAGCGCTATATTCATCTCTTTCGTCAACAACTCTTTTTTAAAAAACATGCATTTAAAAAAAAACCAAAAAAAAAAAAAAAAAAAATCCATAGAAAATTAAGTAAAAATAGATAAAAAGAATCATTTTTTGTAGAAATTTATGTACTTTTACATTTTAGTGTTCTATACGTAATTTTATTCGTTCTTTTCGACGAGAGTGCGTCTTTTCAATTTGTAACATAATGACTTACAGTATATCTCCCCTTCTGAATAATGTATTGTATAACCAAAAATTAAAAAATATCATTGAAATATGCATTAAAAATCAATAAACACGTGACATAAAGATTGATACTTAAAATCATGTGATTTATATACTATAAATTTAATTTATATTAAAAAATTATTAATAAATAAAAATAAAATAATAATTTAAAAGCTTTGTTGATTTTTTGATCATACTCTGTATAAAAAAGATGTTTGTATAAAAGTCTTTTGACTTTTTGATCAATAAAGTCTTAATACTTTTTTTAAAACAATTTAAAAAGTATTTTTAAAGATTATTTTTATATTTTTTTTTACAAATCTTTTTAATCAGAAACGTGACTAAAAAAAAATTAAGTTAAATATTTTTATTATCAGTAGCAAAAAAGGTTTTCAAAAAAAAAAATAATTATAAAGTATTTAAAAAAATTTTTATTTTTAAATAGATTATTATAAAATTTTTAGTTTTATAATTTTTTAAGAATTTTTATCTATTTTAGTTTAATTTTAAATTTTTAAATAATATAATTTTCATTAATCAAACTCTTTCTATTAATTTTTTGATCATATACAAAAAAGATATTCACAAGAAGTTTTGATATTTTTTTACTAAAAAAGTTTTAACACTTTTCTTAAATCAAATTAAAAAGTTCTTTTTAGAACTTCTTCACCTTCTTTATTTTTTATTTACAATTTCCTTTGAATAAACTAGATTCTTGTGACTTATAAAGTTCAGCTTTCACCTTTATTACCAATAATAAAAAAGTTTCTAAAAAGAAAAAAATCAACTGTGAAGCACTTATTACTTTTCGGTTATGCTGAAAAAACAATAGAGATTATGTTCTAATTAAAAGATTTATTCTTCTATCTTTTGACTAATATTGTAATCTCTACGAGCTATCTTTTTCATGGCTTTCTGGAGAATTTTGCCTATCCCAGTTTGATCCTAAAATTTTAGATAGCATAGATTTTACTAATTCTAATTGGCTGATATAAAACATGTTAAACAAAATTGATAAACAAGCTATTATTGTTCACCTCATGTATCTAAATGTATTTCTTCAGTTCTATAAGAATCTGGGGTTCACTATAAATCATTTATATTTAATGTGAATGAATATAGAACATGCTACCAATACATTATTAAATATAAGAAAAAGTTTGTTCAACCATTATAAAGGTCACAAGACACTCGATTGACTTTTTTTCAAGTTAGAGCTACTTATATTCTGATTGTATGTCAGATAGGTTTCAACATATACTATTTGGAAAAGTTTAAACCAGAAAAAGTATGGAGCTATCAGGAATACTCAGGAATAAAGCTCATATGTAAAGTAATCTAGGAAGTTGTCATCCTATCTTCAAAAAATCCTAAACTAGAAAACTAGAAAACTAATACTACTTCACTAATCAAAACTCAAGTCCAAAAATATTAGCAATGATGTATGAATCAGTCAGAATGTCTAGAAGGTCCTTGTTGATTATTAGTATCAATGGCTATCAGCAAGATATATCAATTATAAGACTAGGTACTGTCCTTTTAATAAGAAACTAAATCTAAGATAAGATACATAGATAAGTAAGTATATACATATTTAAATCAGAATAGATTTAATTGACAATATACTAAAAGACTTTCAAGTTAATCATGTAGATATCAGTATATCATCTGGGCCTTCCTGGTTACTTCCTTTCCACAAGTCTTAAAACTATAAAGTTTTTTTCTTAGCCTTCAACTTATCTCTATAAAGACTCAATAGAAGTTTCTTTTCTCAAACCTTTTCACATAGAGAACTAAAACATATTAAAAAACAAGACTGATATTCTCTTAGAAATATATATAACTGCTCAATTTTCTTTTTATTTTCTTTTATTTTCATTTTCATGACATCAATATATTTTAGAAATATTGGTTTTCTTTAATAAAAAAAAAGGCAATAAGTTTCAAAATAGCTTTAGAAATAGCTTTAGCTTATCATTATATTTATTGTCCCTGAATATATATCTATATACCTATACTTTGTATAATATATATATATAATTTGAAAAACAATAAAGTTAGGTATAAGTATGTCACAATAGAACAATCGCAATAGACATTAATTAATTTATTCAGGCATCATAACCTTGTAAAGACTATTCATATAACTATTTATGAATTAATTTTCTAATGAAAACTTGTATGCATTACTTATTAGTGATAAAAAAAAAAAAATAAAAAAATAAAGTTAGATATAAACCCATCCAAAAAAAAAAAAAAAAAATTATTAAAAATAATTAATTAATATAAAATATATTTAAGTTTTGTACCTGCAGATCAATAATACAATGGGTGCACTCCCAGGTCACCATCTACGAGTTACTAGTTCAATCCTACCTAGGAATAGTTTTCGCAATATAGGTTATATTGTACAAGATGCATGCTTATCATCACATGCACTTTTGTACTCACAAATAATCTATAGATTTCTACTATTTGACTACAGTATAAAAACTCAGGTCATCCAAGTCTTGGCCAGTTTTAGTGCCAAGAAAAATCTTCAATATACTTGCCACCTGAAATATATAAAGATCCAAGATGAGCCAAGAAAAATGCTGATCAGTTCAAGCCTCTTAATGGATATAGGAAGGATATCCATCTATTGTCAAAATTACACCCTATAGAAAATAAGGAAGATTTCAGTCATTTATACCTGTCGAAATGTAACAAGTCATAACAATAATTAATAGAAGATCTCTATGGTTGTGAAACCAATGGCTATCAAAGAGGACAGCTATTGTGGAGGCTGGTGATTAGCTTTAGTATCACGTTGGGAACTGGCAAGGGCAGACACTAGAAGAAGAAATTTGAAAACAATCACCAAGGTAACCAATCCAATGGGAGGAGCAATCTGTTACAAAGTAATCAAGAGAAATCACTGTTAGGCCAACTTGCAAGAGTGGTTAAAAATGTGACAATGGAAGGCTATATGCTATGCAATTATGTGACACCATTAAATCACCTGGATATCAAGAACATGGCTAGAGGACTGTGCCATCTAAGTTTCAACTAGCGAGTAGAGGATCCAAATATGATAAGAATTGTCCATGATACTTATGACCATCAAATGATACATAAAGATCTCACTAAGGAACACATAACACAAGCTCTTTGAAGAATAATAAGAAGTTCATGGTGGATCTTCAAAATGCTACAGTCCTGGGCAGAACAGAGCAACTGATGAAAATAGTACCACCATGTGGTAAAATTAACAGACTTGACTAGGATAAGTAGTTTAAGATGGTTATACAAATTGCTCATGTAATCTAAAAATGGAGTTATTTTTAAAATCGCCAGTTTTATTTTGAGGGGGGTACCCCTCAAAAAGTTTTACCGGCAGATATAAAAAAAAACCAACCATGCCAGATAATTTTGATTCCGTAAAATTTTCGTGAGTGATC